TGATTTTTTGGTTAAACTTTATATAAGGATATGAGTTAAATTTAACAAAATCGCATAATTTTTATGTACTCTATTCAATTGAACAATGAATCAAGAACATAATATGAATTGTTTTATGAGATCCTTAAGAGCAATGTGAACTTGAGTATATTTCGACAAAATCGAAATCTTGAGAATATATTAGCCGCAAAAAGAACCAAGAATGAGAATTCAAAGTACTACGTACACACCAGAAATTAAATTGAAACTAAGCAATTAACCGTAAACAAACAGAATTAACAAACATCACAAGCACATGGATTGATTGTAACACGAAATCTTCCATTGAGAATCAATTCTACCTTAACAAATCATTCAAAGGCTTCAACCTTTAGCAAGATCAAATAGAGAACAGATTTAGACATGATTTTTTTACGGTGGGAGTTTTCTCATCTTATACTATGTTTTGATTCGTTACAGACTTAACAACTTTGTAATCTCCGAGATTAGTTCGCACAACTTGTAAGAACCTTTTTACTTCACACAATTCCCACCAACTCCTACTAACCTAACCGCACGGTTTAGTCTCCTCGTTAAATATTTTAAAAAAAAAATCAAATTCGAAACCCTTCAACTGATCTAGAATATTTCTCCAATTTTACCATAGTCATCATAAAAAATGAGTCAATACTTTACAAATAATTTACAATGGGTTTTATATTTGATAACAATATGTATTATGCGGATTAGAACTCAAATCAATTATATAAAGAATGAGTGAGGTCTCACAAAGAAATGACACATCAACACCCTTTTCATGACATATGAACACTGAAAAGATACTAAATTTTTCATTAATAGTTTGATGTAGGATTTTTCGACATCTCATTAATAATTATATTATTTTTTTAAGTAAGGCTAAGTATTTTATTCTGCTATATTGGTTGATATAAGAGAATTAAATTTATTTCAAAGTTTCTCAATACTTTGTACTTGTTTTGAACTAATTAGATGGTAACTTGTTCAAATTTCAAATCAAGAAAATTTGATTGAATACCGTGATATATGATGGTGATAGATATTTTCCCTCCTTCAATTTCTATTAGCACTGAAACTATGGTGTATTGGCTTCAGTTCTTAGACTATGAAAGTGATAACCAACAAAATTGACAAAATTTTATTTTGTTAAAGTGGATTGGGGAAATTAAAAATAAAAAGGTAAGAAATCATTATTAAGTTAGAAATACCAGAGAAAAATTTACTTCAAAAGTTGAGAAAGTTGTATCGTAATTCTTTTTCTTGGGTGAATATGATAAAGACATAACTAATTTCACATATTAACTATAAATGACATAATTTGGTTAAGTATAAAATATTAACTCAAATATGCGTATATTCATATTAAAACATTTCTAAACATGATAAAAAGAAATGTCGAAACAAAACTCACGCATAAGTGATATCTGTAGGTAAACGTACATGAAGCAGCTGTACATGGATATTCTTCATTATATTTTTTGGTATTTTTTCGTTTCTGGAACCACAATCTATATCACTTGTTCCAATTCATTGAAGAGTCGTTATCTTTTGCATAGTTTTCTCGCATCGTCCTTGGATCTTTGACTCTGTTGTTTATGATTGTACTTTGCTCGATCGTACTGAAGCGTGCATATGGCTTCATGTCACGTGGCTTGAACATACTGAAGCGTTCATATGATTTCACTCACCCCAGGTACTCTTGTAATAATATATCATTTCACTTGTTACATTGGCTTGATCAATTCTTAGATTGATTCTAATTCTATTCTTGTTTAATTAAAAAAATCACTTATGTAGGTAAACGTACATAAAAACGTACATGAAGACCAAGAAAACTCTATATCTCAAAGACATGGTGAAGTCTCTTTCGCCCTAAGTTTCTTCTCTTCTGTGGTCTCTCTCGCCTCATTGTTCTTTTGTGTCGTGTTAGGGTTCTTGTCGAATCTTCTCTTCCTTTTATAACAAGTTTTCATCGATTATGGTCCGCGATTTTCTTTTATTTTCCTTGAACGTGAACATGAAGGTCCCTGAACATGAAACGAAGATCTTAATGTGATTGGACTCTAACTTAAATGGGTCTATCTCGGCCCAAAAAACAAATTAACCCAAAACCCATATTCTCACAAAACTAATATCTTTAATTCGGCTCACAATATTATATTTTATGGATAATCATACTTTTCGTATTATTAAATGTATAAACTAAAAGAATTAAAATGGAAAATCTGGATCATCCCACTGAAGAACAGCAGATTCGATGTTATGCTCTCTCTTCAGCTTATCCTTCAAGAACCAATCACATATTTTTCCAGCATTCAACTCTTCTATCGAACATCCTTCTTGCTCCGATATCACTCTTAGTAAATTCAATGACGATATCTGTAAAAATCCAATTCCAAAATTACTTGATGTACACATACTCGTGCATGGTAAAATGTTAATTATACTATAATTTATTTTACCGTTAGTCGACAGAGAAACTTTTCGTGTGCACCAAGACCGGAGATTTCGACCAGACCGGCTTCTGCTAAGGTCAAGAAACTTCTTCTCTCGGGCTTGCTTTGATCGCCCGATTCTTCTTCTCCTACCTCGGCACTTGCTCTTACCAAACACAATCCTATCTTTCTTCTTCTTCCTCCTTGTAGTTTTCTTCTCGTGAATGTAATAGTATTTGATCTTGCTTGTGGAGTCCTTACTAAAGTCTTGTCTATGTGATGATTTAAGATGAAGCTTGAGTGACGGCAACAAGTGGCAATGTTCATAGTGATACAAAACTCTCTCTTTTTTGTTCTCTCAATGAGTT